GCCTTGTGGTTGAAATTACAATGTGTGTGTTGCAGTGCTTCAAGCGTCCGTTAGAGAGCAGAAGAAGCTGCTGGTTGAAAATGGCAAACTGAAAAAGGACATCGAACAGCTGAGAGGTCAGCTGCAGGACAAACAGAAGAGACGGAGCGGTATGACACCAAAACCAACCAATGATTGACATTAAAATGACACCGGACAGCTTAACTTTGGCTGTTTAAGGAAAACTTAGGCAGATCCTACACTCAATAAGCACCTTTAAAGATGATTTCATACACAACTCAACCATTTCCCCTTTCTTCCAGCCAAGGCTGTGCTGTCTCAAGCCCCACCTCCTCATAGTGTAAGCCCCGCCCACACCAAACCTGAAGGTGGATCCACCTCCCCGCCAAGAGCAACAGCTGGTGTTCCTTCAAACCCCCCTCCCTCTGCCTCCTTAAGCGACGTTAAAGACAGACCAAGCAGAAGGAGGAGAGGAGAGAAGAAAGGTACACTGCAAAAATAATATAGAAATAAGCAAAACATTTTAATTAAATTAAAAGTATTTACACTTAATTTAAGTAGGTAAATAAGATGATTTGACAATAGAATGAGTATTTTTACTGTTAAAATAAGATAATTATATATTATTCACTTGAAATAAGACAATGTCATTGTTTTTTTCTTATTTAAAATATAAATTGTCTTATTCAATTGGCAAAATGTCTCACTTTCCTCCTCAAATTAAGAAAAATTTCACTTATTTAAAGAAAAAAATACTTTTTTGTATTTCAATTGTTTTCAGTGTAAGAATAAACCAAGATGGAGTTAAAGTAAAAGTAAAAGATTAACACATTTGTATCTGTCTTTTAGTGCGTGCCAACACAGACACGCTCACTCTGGGGGAGGAGTCTCAAATTGATGCGTCACGCCTGGATCTGCGTGTTGGAAGAATCCTGAGCATCCGTCGCCATCCACTGGCTGAAACCATGAGTGTTCAGGAGGTGGATGTGGGAGAAAACAGCCCCCGGACGGTCGTCACCAAGATGGGAGGGGGGAAAGATCTCGACCAGGTGATGATTTTTATCATGCTTATATATGACGGCCATTAAAAACCTTTTTGATTAGCTGGAGTATAAAATGATATCATGATGACTTATTTACGAAAAAAATCATAAAATATAGTATTATTTTCATCAAATATTATTATTAAATTATTTGAACAAATATTCTAAATGAGTTTCTCAACCGACGAATAATTTCCCAATATTTTTATACCTTTGAATAGCACCCATGCATGTATGGTATTACATTACGGTAGAATGATTTCAACAATATTAATAGTGTGCCAATTTTAGTAAAGTATTTTTTACCTCATCTCTAAATATAAAGTGTTTTTAAGACCTTATTTCAAAGATATTAAAAAAGTTAAACAGGAATATTTAATAAATTAGCCATTAAAATATTTATTTGGAGGGTTGAAAACAGAAATTGAGTAAATAACATGATGATAATTAATGAATTTGACGAAATAGACAAATTTTCACAGAAGAAAGTCACCTGGTTATGCACTGTTTCTGTCACTACCATCAGAAAAATGATTCAGGACCATTAAACACAAAACAATAGACATTTTCTGTTTTAAATGCTGTAAAAGCAATCTTTCTCCTGTATTCAGCCAACCTCTGCTAACACCCCCAAATACAACACCAGCCCATTTTATAAAGTGACTCAGAACAAGCTGCACTTTATTTAAATACTACATGCTGCTATATTATTAGTACATCTCTTTTCTAATGATGTTTATATTTTCTAATGTTTTTTTGGAAGTTGAAAGAGTGATAATATGTTGTGTCTTTTTTTCTTAGGGTGTTTCATATCATTTGTCCTATAAGGATGCTTATTTTTCCATATTTTCCCTGTTTTCTATGTGTTCCTGCTGAGCCGGGTTTCTCAACAAATATCCTATTATAGCCTCATAATGAGAATAAAGATTCTTGATTTTATAGAAAACTGTATTTGTCTAGTAGGTAGAGTTGCCAACCGTCCCTTGAAAAATAAAATTGTTCCGTATTTAGAAATAGAAGTACCTGTCCCGTATATATTGGAAAGGGAACGCATTTTGCCCGTATTACTGGGAGAGTAAAAAAGTAATCAGTAAAAAGCTAATGGAAAATGAAGAACAAGGGCACATTAGATACAAAAATTACGGTAAACTTGTTCCAGGGCCGTGTCCTACGTTGTGACCAATGAGCTGACAGCATACATGTAACGAATACTATGTATTCATTGTTTTATATTCATTATTACAGTTTGAAGTTAAGCAGGACAGGCTTATGTTTAAGATACTGATTTTATTCAACAAAGTTTGTATTAAAGTGAATACTCTGCTTACCGATATTTACGCTATTGTGTTCATGTCACTCCCAAGTATGCAATATATTATATAATATATAAAAAAAAGAATCACCACGCCAGCAGGGGTAAAGGCAATCAGGTCAGCTCACACGCATATGAGGTGTCCCTTTTTTTTCTTTTTAGGGAGTTCGCAACCGTACTAGTAGGCCTAACCCATGCTAGCGGCTAATTAGTCAGGCTAACACCCAGCTCTCAAAATAATAACAGCTACAGTGGGAATTAGTTGCTAACTGCAAATTAGAGTGGCGTTAACAGCAATTGTAAACATTTCAACAGGTACTAACAGGCTAACAGGAGAATAAAATGCTTACTGAAGTCTAGACATAAGCTAACAACCAAAAGAAATCAAGCTAACAGATAACATACACTGAGTTAAGGCTTAAATATTCATAAATTATCTTAATTGCGAGTTTTTTTTCCCCTTTTCTTTATGTTAATTTAAAAAAGTGATATGATTTTCTCCCACTAGCTTCAAGGCTCTCTTGGAGTGTTTCTATGCAACGTAAAGGCCTCAAAAATGAGGGGCGTGGCCTCACAGGGCCGCCTCATATGTTGCTCCGCTTCCGACGACAGCATTGAGCCTCTGGTTCCGCCTGCAGGCTCCGCCCCTGGAGACAGAATCACCTTCTTCAACTATCCTGGTAACTACGGTGACAGCGTTCATGCATTGTAAAGCCAGATGGTCATCATCAGCTTTTATGATGGCTGATATATCTGAACAGGTGACAACATTACGACCTCATGTGTGTTTTAGGCGAGCCGGATCGAGAGCTTCCATCCAAACTGAAGATCTGGGAGCTTCTGCTGCCTGATCTGCAGGTGGACAGCAAGGGTGTGGCCAACTATAAAGGCTGTGGGTTTGAAGTGAAGGGGAAGGGACTGTGCAGAGCTCCCTCTCTCACTAACTGCACAATCAGATAGAGGAAGGCCCAATGGGCTTTGTTTTGCCTATGGATGATTTGACTGAAAACTGCTGGTACAGGTTGATAGATTGAAGTATGTTCCTTCTTTTAGTGTGAAAGCATAAAAAAAAACAATAAATAATTTGACAAAAATATCATGTTTTGTTTGTTTGCTTTTATTTAAGTAACAATAGTATGGGTGATTATGTTTTATTGATACTGCTTTCACTAGAGTGTCTTCAAACATGCAAGTAACAAACAAGTAGTAGGGAATTCATGTTTAAATGTCAAATAATTCTGGCTTAAACATTTATATGAATGTACTCTTTATCAGGCCATACTTCCCCAAAACTTAGAACATTTCTATTTAAAAACGAAAAATGTTCTGTGGGTTTTTTTCGTTATCTTATGCAGGCCAGTTAGTTATACATCAGCTTGTACGCCTAAATTCGGCCAATCAGATATCTCCAGTCATCTGTCAATCAAAATTTTTTTTGGTCATAGCATCTTGATTCATATGTCGCAGCTAATATACGCAACGGTTGAAATAAGAATCATTTCCTTTCCCATTGAGTTCCGTCCCAGTGTTCACAGGGATGGACGTCTGTGTCTTCAGCAGGCGTAGAGCTAACAGAACTGGCAGCGTTGCGAGGCAAGGGCTCAAACATGTACGGCTGGAAGCCTTCTACACCAAACCAAGCTTCTGCCGCCCTGGCGTCCTCTTCCACAACATCTTCGTCCCCGCTTTCCTCCTCTAAATAAAAAATGGATGACGGAGGAGACTCATCCACGACCTTCGACACTAAACTCTCCTCCTCTTGCATGTTTCCGCTGTCCATAGCGTTCCTTGACAGCGTCGTTTCTAAGTCACCAATTTAGTGCTACTTGGTCCCAGTGGAATTTCCCATTGGGAACCTACTAGCACTAAGTTGCTAACTGGTTAGCAAGATGCTTCCGACAAACTGGTCACAATCAAACTTGTTTGCAAACCTTATGCCACAACAATCCCGCCCCCTTGATAAACGACCAATCACATTCACTTTATTCACTCGTGTAAAGTCGGGCACCACTCGGGAGAATTCAGAAATGCAACGGTTGGAACAGCCGCTTCCTTATGACTTTAAAATGACGATCTATATGCACTTTTCACAATATACCTAAATTCATGGACATAAAAATTGGTTTAAAGCTACAGTGTGTAATAATTACAGGGATATACAGTCAGAAATGTAATATATTATACATAACTATGTTATTTATCATTATCTACGAGCTCAGCCTCTTAACCTTAATATTTGCGTTGCCTTAGAATTCGTTATTTATAATTACATAGGAGTGGGTCTCGCAGCCATGGAGGCAGACATCTTTGCGCTACGGCAGCGCAGAGCCAACAAACTAGCGATTGCGAGATCGCCCATTACGCTCGAAAGTAACTACGGCAAGTTGAGAGAGATGAACTGAGACGGTACTGAAATCTATACCCTACACAGACTAATGAAATACTATCTGTAAAATTATCTTTGTAAACAAACCTCATCACTTGAGAAGGTAGGTGATGCGGACATCGTGGAAGACATTTTGTCCCGTAACGCTCGCCGTACTGTTGGGGGGGGAGAAGCGGTGGGGGGGAGATGTTCATGTTGCTGCAGTCTGCAGTCTGGACGTTAGATGTCGCTGAAAATTACACACTGTAGCTTTAAAAGCTAGCTGCCATAATCAGTGTATATTTATATATTTAAATCTAAGGCTAAGATTGAAGTAACAGATGTTTAAAGTTCAAACACGTTCACTAATGTATTCTAACTCCAAATTAGCAAATGAGAAATTAAACTGGACACTCAAAGTCCTCCGGGTTTCTGACAGACTGACTAGTCTGGCCTAAACCTCAGAGCTTTGTGATGATTCTTTGCCGATAGTTGGAGAAGTTTGTCTCTCAGCGGGCGGCCTCTGACTGATGGCCAGTCAGAGTTGTTGTCCAGAAAAAAGGCCCCACCCCTAGCCTCTTTAGCCAGAGTGCGCAGCCAATCGGAGGTCTGGGAGAGGTAAACGGACGGCTGAAGCCCTGCCTCTCCCAGATGATCAGCATGTGTGAATACCAGCATGGCGTGATCACGCCACTCTGGACCGAAGAGACTCTGAAAGGAAAAGGAGAAAGCAACATAAATTTTGTTGTACAACATCATCCTTAGAAGGTTTCAAGTCCAACAGAATCTAGTGGTAAAGTACAACATGTGCTGGAGGCAAAAGAAGAAGTTTATTTATTTTCCTTCTTGACTCTCATAGAAGGAGGACATTTTTTCTCTGTCTCCTAATCCCTCTCTGTATATCCTGCTTAGCTTCTGTGTCTTGTCTTCTGTTGGAGCCTCTCTTCAAATATCTTCCCAAAACCTGCAAACTGAATCGTGGATCTGTTTGGCTGTTCTCTTAACGAAATTGATCGAATTTTCTCTACGGGGAGTGTCCAGATGGGACGTTTTTCTCCGGGTACACAATGGATTCTAGACAGCATTGAAAGATTGTGTGCCTGACGATGATACCTGTTGAGGTCATAGAGGATTCCTACATAATTGGATTTTTCATAACATGATTTCTACTGTTTGGAATTGGTGGATACCTGGCATATTGTGAAATTTGAAAGATGTTGGGGACTGTTTTGGCCAGTGTCAGGCTACCTGGAATGTACAAGGAGATCTGCAGAGCTATCAACACTCAGACTGAGATGTTAAGGAAGCAGAACTGTAAACTGGATGCAATGGCATAATCTTGGAGACACTTATAAGCTCATATCTTGACAGAGTGGATCATAAAAATCTGTTCTTTTGGGTTTCACCATGATGAGACTCCAGGAAAAACTCTGAAAGCTGGCAGAAAAAACATAACAGCCAGCCTGACCCAAACAATTTGCCTCTATCTGGAATTTGCCTCCCCACTGGCTTTAAAGGCCTTTATCTAAGTAACTCTGCTGGGGTGATATGTAAATATGAGCCTCTACCCCCTCCCTCCCCTGAAGACATCTGTGAAGCTGCCTTGTTGGTCAGATTATGAACTGTGACATCTATCAAGGACATTGACCCACGGCTTCATGGATATTCAGATATGATATATGCATCTAGAAATAAGTATAAATGTCTTAATTTAAGGGTATTTACCCTTAGTTTGAGTAGGTAAATGAGATAGTTTGCCAATGAAATGAGTGTTTTTACGCCTAATATAAGATAATTAGATAATATGCACTTGAAATAAGACAATGCAATTGTGTTTTCTTATTTTAAGTATAAATTGTCTTGTTCCATTGGCAAAATGTCTCTTTTACCTCCTTAATCCAAGAACAAATGCACTTATTTTAAGAAAAAGCTTCTCAATTCAAATGTCTGGATCCGCAGTGAGACATTTGAATTGAGAAAGCTTCCTGGAAGGGAACCGAAACGTCTTCAAACCTTGGAAACCAAGTCCAGTGGATTGTTTTTCAACTTTTACGGAATTACTATGACCTGGATGACTGAGAATCTTCATCAGCGTTGTGTAATTTTGTTCATTCATTTAAAAGGACAATGGCAAAACCTTGTTATAAGTATGTCAGCGCATTGGCCGTTAAAATGTCCTCTGCAGATGCAAAATAACATATGGAAAGGGCCAAGAGATGTTGATATTTCCTTTTCCGAAGTGAAATATCAATAATACTCATACCCTAACTATATGTTGTTGGGACAAAAACAATTTTGCTTTTAATTCAGCATTGAAAAAAGAACAAATGCTGGTACAAACTGGTACCAAGGCCAAATGATTGTTTTTTTCTTTGTGTGATAGTTAAATGCCGACCAAATTACATTGAAAGGTCAAATAAACTGAAATAACCAGCACAAAATACGATAGGACTGGATTATATAGCAATCCATATTAGGGTTTAAATTAGTAAAAGGGCAAAATATTGACATAAGACTAAAAAAGGCAAAGACTAACCAAAAAATTCCACATATATTGTTAGTACCTCTGCTTGATGCAGCAGTCGCGAGTTTTCATTCAGCTGATCCACTCTAACAACAACCACGACCACATGAACCCCATCAGTACAGAGCTCCTGCAGGCTCTGTGGGCGAAGCTTCGTTGGGGGTGTGTCCATAACTCTCAACATGAGGTCAGACTCCGCCCCCTGCCTTCTAAAAAAAGCAGAAAACTTCCTGCTTCGGACCCCTAGCTCTGCAGTCACGGGAACGCCAGAAACGGAGGTTCCTGTCTGAAATTCGTGTCCACCTGTAATAGTGAGAAATGTGGTCGGATTCATTCACACTCAAAACATCAAAACACGCACAAGAAGATGTTTTCAAGACTGACCAATAAGCGCGTTCCCCACAGAGCTCCGCCCACTCTGCCTCTCACCTAGCAACAGGACATTTAGAACAAGAACATCCTGTTGCTCTTCTCTTGTTTGAAAACCCAGCCAGCTTAGGATATTTCCACAGTGTTTATCATCCATCTGAGGAAACAACATGAAAGGTTTGCATTGTCTGATTCATCCAAGTCGCTTGTCAATATTCCAATATGTTCGCTCTGGAAATCAAACAAACCTCGATGCTTCCTTTCCATAAACCTCAGCTAAATGCAACTTTCTGGTATCAAGAATATTACTTGCTAATGAACGTTTTGAGTCCTCTTTTCTTTTTTTTATGATACCTTGAATCTTTAAATGAATAATAAATTTCAGTCTTACCCTTTGGTACCTCTGCTTGAGAAGCGGACAGGGACTCGTCCCCTTGTCTGGTCACTGTTAGGTATGTGTCTCTGCAGGAGTGGTTACAGGTTAAAGTATAACCAGTCTGACATATCTGCTCCACGCTCTGCAGCTTTATTGGGCCATAAAAGTAATAATTATCTTTGCATTTCCTCACACTGTAGCACTAATGTCTCTATCATCATGTGTTGTCCACTCTCTGGTTTTACTTTGGGATACAACTGAATTAAAATGGAAATGTTTTTATTTTAAAATGTGACCTGCTGTCAGAGTAACGCTACAGAGACTCAGTGGGACAAAGTCTAGATGCACAAAGAGCTATTGAGTCTGACTCCATCCTGAAATCATGATAACAGTTTATTACATCCACATGTTGCCATGATCTGGTTCCATTTATTAAACCTTGTAATTTATAGGCTGATATTTAAATAGAGTTGTTTGGGCTTAAACATTGGACCCACATCCCAAAAAAGGCTCAAAACATGGACCCTTACTAGAATTGCCCATGTTTATTAGTGCATGAATGCATTTGATTCCATCCTGCTGAATGAGTCTATATAAGCTACACACACAGATGATGAATAGGGATGGTTACTGAGCCTGAGTGGGTCCAGGATTAAGATTAGCTTAATTAACACGATCTGAATGATTTGACTAGGCCAATTTATCCAGTCAGTCCACATTCTGGTGGAGGTAGGACCGCCCTTGGACAATCGCACCTCCATTGTCCTCTCTCACACATTAAACCAGACATCTGATTCATACTGACATCTTTTGTATCTTTTCCCTCCTCCTCTTCCTCGATTAATTCCATAGCCTTTTCTTCTCCCAGTAGATCTGACATTTTTCGAAGTTGCAATGGCTGCTAAATGCAGGTATTTCTCAGCTTTGTTTTTTTCTCTTTCTGTACCTTTTCAGCCAGTAACTGAGCATCCCTGGCATGCTGACGAGTAACAATGTGGCACACTTGACAGCCCAGCCAACCTACACAACTTTTTCTTGCTGTGCATTGTGTTGCGAAAGTCCTTTGTTAACAGCATCACATGATATTATCTCCCATAGACCAGGCTCATCACCCAAAGCCTTAGGCCTTGGGTTTTCTGCTGTATCTTGTAAAATGGTCTAAAAGTCTTTTGAAGAAATCGTCCGTTGTCGCACCAGACAGCTGCTTGCAGCACTATATGTTTGTCGTGTTGATATTTGTGGGAAATGTTGTGCCCTGCCCAGATCTGCCCCTTGTGGCCCAATTGTTCAAAACGGCACCCCAAAGCGCCTTCTTGGAAGCCAAATGTGCCAAAGTGCCATCTTGGGAGAAAAATTGCAACTTTGGAGTTGGAACGCACACTAAAGTGCCCTTTCATGTTCTAAAACAGATGCCAAAGTGCCCCCTTTGTAGCCAAAGCATGTTAAAGTTCCTTGTCAGTAGCCAAACCAATGCTAAAGTGTCCTTCCGGGAGCCAAAACGCAAGCTAATGTGCCGTCTCGGGAGCCAGAACGCATGCTAAAGTTTCCTCTTGGGAGCAAAAACGCATGCTAAAGTGCCCTCTTTGGAGCTATAACATGTGCTAAAGCACCCAGCCGGGAGCCAAAACGCACCCTAAAGTGCCCTCTTGGGAGCCATAACGTGTGCTAAAGCACCCATCCGGGAGCCAAAGTTCACACTAAAGTGCCCTCTTGGGAGCCATAACTTGTGCTAATGCACCCATCCGGGAGCCAAAACGCACGCTAAAGAGCCCTCTATATTGGTATGGTAGTTATAGGTACCTTTTTTTTCTTTTGGCCCCTGCCCTTCAAAAAGCGAGGGCTTGCCTTGCTTTTTGCACCAGTGCATGCCACTGTTGCGGAACTACTTTGGAGCAATCTGTTGCCTATGTTTACCTCCTGGTTGCTAAGCCAATCATACTAGTGTTCTCAGGGTTTCCGAAACAGAGCAGCTTTTTGTATTTTATGTGTTGGCTAATGTCAATCTGCAAACATGGAGGCCAGCAAACAAAGTGAACCAGAAATAGTTTCAACAACTGAAGTCTCAGCTTCCTCCAGAATTATTTGCACAATAATTCTTTACTCATTTTCAGTTTATCTATGTCACTCGTCCCTCTTGGCTTGGCAACCTGCACAGCACTCTCTGAAGGGGCAGTTATATGCACTGTTGGTTCTAATTTGAAACATTAGGTTTCATTATTACTTATTGCTCCTTCAACATGTCAGGGAAGTGAATAATGACTTGTTCATGACTTGAAATGTAAGCCAATTAACTTGACTTGAGACTTACCGAGACTAGAATGATGCAAAAACAACAAAACTGTGCAATAAACATAGTAATAAAATAAACACAAAGAAATCGTAGCTGGATTCCTAAGCTAGATTACTGAGCAAATGTTTACAGTTTTAGGAAACTAGACTTTCACTAAACCTGTTAGTCATTTTCATATCTGAATAACAAACAGATGAATTCATTTAGTTTTTCACTTATGTTTTCCTCACTTATTTACTCTAAATGCTCAGTTGCTCGGTACCTTAATTGTTTAGAATACCACATAGCCATGTTGACATACATTTTTAGTAGCTATTTCTTATCTAAGAACAGGAAGGTTTGTCTAATGGTTTGACACAAGCAAGAGGACCGTGTCATTTGGCCATGTTCCCAGATCCAAATCACATTCATGAAACAGAGTTTTGACATTAGGGAAAAGGGGAAACACAGATGGGAATGTGACGACAATGCAGATTGATGACCTACTGTGGACATGCATGAAGGGGGAAGCTGGGAAAATAACCCATGTGGGTAGCGTAGGGAAAAGACCTTGTCACTGTGTGCGTTATCTTTATGGCTGCAATAATCAAAAGTCAGGAGAGTGATTCCTCACAGCTAAAAACTCCAAACAGGGAAGAACACGTTCTCTCCTGCCCTGCTGTCAGTTAACCTCCCAAAGATCGCAATCAGTTCAAGGAAGATTATAGGAACCAGCTGTATAGATGAGTTTCCAGATGGGTAGCTCTACTTGGAGACTTCCTACCTGTTTTCTGTAAATCTAAACATTTTGCTAGTTTCTAACACAAAGTTTAGGTTCTTCTATTGGACTGATTTATCTCACTTATTGTTGTTGTACATTTATTCACAATAAGCATTTTTGTTACAGGCTTTGTTACAAAAAACTTGGGATTCTAAAGGTAAACTCAAAATGTATATAAAAAAAATTAGATGGCTTTGTTTTTCAATTGGGGCCCTTGGTATTTAGAGGTGAGAAGATTACAAACATTACAAATATTTTAAACGTTTTTGTACTCATTTAGAATTTTACAAATAAATTTAGCAATGTAGAACCCTTTTGGACCAAAATTACACTAATTCTACCAATTCAGTTCAGTTTATTGATATAGAACCAGGCTCAGTGTGAGCGGCCATGTGTCGAGGCTGACTAGGGTTCAAGGAGAGAGAAGCACTCATACTGGAAGAAGCAGAGATACAAAAGGTAACTGTCAACCAGCTCCACAGGAGGCCACTTCCCGGAAAAACACAGCCTGGCAGAGAGCACCTCAAGCCAGTCACATCTATAACAACATCTATAAACAAAGGTATTGATGGCAGCAGCACAAATGATGTTTCTCTCCAGGATGGAGTCACAGCCAAACAGGAACAGACCAGATGAAGCTACTATGAGAAAAAGCAAAGAGAGCATGACATTACAGATTGTACTAACAAATTATTCAGGGTGGGAGAATAATGGTAGAATGAAGCAGAATGATGAAATAGGGGTCCCTATGTCCTCCAGCATTCTAAGCCTATAGCAGCATAACTGTAGAGATGCTCAGGATAACCTGAGCCACTCTAACTATAAGATTTATGAAAAAAGAAAGTTTTAAGCCTGATAACTAAAAGATCTGCCTCCCATTCTACCTTTAGAATTCCAGAAACAACTAGTAAACCTGCAGATGGAAAGCAAAACCTTTTTAGGAAAGTTTTTTCCTCAATATGAATAAATTAATTATTGCCATGTATCATTAGCTTTGCAGATCTCTAAATGCCCACTAGGATAGATAAGCAGATTGTGCAATATGAGATATACTAAACTCGAAATCCAAAAAGACGTGAATTAAAGAGAAATTACCCTTAGTTTATTTCCTGGAAACAAAATGTATCCACCCTGAGTGGTTAATTTCTAAGTTTAGAGTAGTTTTTGGTTAAACCTTACATGTAAGTATAATGGGCACAAACACTTAACATTAGCGCCACGTTTGACCCATGTTGCCATGCAATAATGACCAACTAAAATAACACGTTCAACTGGGCTTACCTTTAAAGATGCAGTTTAGTCAACCCAGTTAAGCCTAAATCTGCCTTGTGCTTACACAGCCCGAGAAAAAATCCAGTGCATTCCAATTACATCACCTGGCTGGGCTTAAATGTAACATACATTTATCCCCCTGAACTGATTAAAAGGGATAAATAAAACCCCTACACTGTATATGCTGTGCCTGTAGAAAATGTCAGCTTTTGAATTTAACAAGGTGCAGATCACTGGAGTGTAAATAAAATAGGTTTTGTTAAAAGCTATCAGTTATCAACATTGCTTTGTGTTGGATCACTCATTGGTTTAGGTTTTTGGACCTGATGAAGTTTTAAAGATATGAGATTCTTAATTATACAGGTTGTAGTGGGAATATTACTATATCTATAGCGATGTGTCCATGATGTGGAAAACTTTTGATCCTTTGCTTTTAAACCACTTCTAATTTTCTGTTACTGGTTTCAAAGTAATACATTGAAACTCCGGATTTATGTTTATCTGTCTGTAAGGTTGACCAAGAAGGTGTTTTATTTTATATTGGAATATTTTTATTGTCAGTATTTCATGTTTATGGTGTTCAAGCTATTAGGTTGATGAAGGTTCTCAGTCATCCAGGTCATAGTCATTCCGTAAAAATTCAAAAAATATCCACTGGACTTGGTTTTCAAGATTTGAAGATGTTTCGCCACCTCTCCAGGAAGCTTTCTCAATTCCAATTGAATTGAGAAAGCTTCCTGGAGAGGTGGCGAAACGTCTTCAAATCTTGAAAACCAAGTCCAGTGGATATTTTTTGAATTTTTACGGAAATTCAAGCTATTAGCTAACTAGCTATTATTAGCTATTATTAGCTAATTAGGTATTAGCTAATATGCTGGTGAAGATTCTCAGTCATACAGGTCATAGGCATTCCAAAAAATGTAAAAGAAAAAATCAATCTACTGGACTTTGTTTTCAAGATATAACACGTTTCGCTTCCCATCCAGGAAGCTTTTTCAAATCAAAATGTCCTTTTTTTGGAATTAGCTAGCTAACAGCTACTACAAATTGGGTGCAAAATAGCTACAATGTGTGAGGTCAAGTGTATTTCAGGCTTCATTTATTTAGATTTATGACCCATATTGTTATCAATTTACAAAGTATGGATGGATGTCTAAATCTAGGGAAGGCTAACTAACTATGAGCCTTCAGCAGCCATTTAATGAACTACTAGACAATGTATTTACAAAAAAAACTGAGCAATAAATAAAATAAAGTTCTCATATAATATTTGTGCCCTTTCAAAGTGGTACAAAACACAGTACTATAAAGTGGAAAGAAAACAATTTAATCATAAAGTAATAATTACACCCAGATTTACCACAGATGTATAATCATAAGTTAATTCTGAAAACAATTGATTTACAATACCAATCCAAACAAAAATATGTATCATACATAAAACTCAGGTTTTAAATATTCTTTTAACAAGTTTTCACCCAGAAAGCACAGCTGGCAACAGAACGAGTAAACCCAGTAAGATTTAGTATAACAACAACAGCCAAAACTAAAAGACAAGGATGTATTTTATACCATTCAAAATATTTGTACAAGTTAGACGAAAGGAACAACAGCAGAGGTGCAAATACTACAAAGGAAGACCTGCGGATGGGGGATAAATTGACAAAACCTGTTTACATGTCTGTGATACAACGATGAAATAAAGCAAAAATAAAAGTGCAATATTATTTATTGAGAAGCCATCATCCTTTAGCACAGGGGTCTTCAGGGACCCCAAACTGGCGAGATGGAGCGGGGACCCCTAATTATATATATTGTATGAAATTGTGTTCTATCAAACTGGTCCTATAGTCCCTCTGTTACAGATGGAGTCATGTAATGAAAGTAATTAAAGTATTTCTGATTCTCATTCCTGGTTGATGGGACAGGTGTTGTGAATGAAACGGTGCCTAGCTTGAAAGAGCTCCTGTGTGTCGCTGAATGTGAGCATTGATGACTGAAATAAAGTGTGTTGAATTCATGTTAATGTGGATTTAAAGACATTTCAATTAGTCTAATCAACCAAAACTTTGGAGACCCCCATGCAGTACCTCCGTGGACCCCCTAGGGGTCGCTGACCCCCTGTTGAAGACCTCCGCTTTAGCACATAGCTTAGCTAAGTTTGGCTTTAGCTCATGCTGAAGTAATGCTGTGGGCTTTTTCTAATGTAAAACCTTTGATGTTTGCTTATGAACAGATCAAAAGCTGAAAACAATGCGTTTTCTTTCATACAAGGGGGGGCTTCCATCAGATATGCATCAACATTTGCACTTTAGTTGTTGGCGTAAAAGAGGTCAGACCGGATTTCAAAGTGGTTTCAGCTTGTCTAGACACCCTGAAGGGAAATCGCATCCGAGCCTGAAAGATTTTTCACCCCATTCAGTTGGTGAGTCAATGTTGCCTGACAGGAAGCTGATTACCATCCAGATGCTTGGAGTAAGAGGAATTTTCACAGGTGTAAACAGGAATGTAATTCATCCCTCCCTTTCTTTAACAATGCATCATCCTCCCGTTGCCTCGAGGCTCGATCACAGACATGGAAAAAGCTGTTTTCGCTCCATCCATCCCTAAATCAGTCTGTTTGCCTTCTCGTCTCTAAAAGTTATTTTCTCTGGCAAACATGGAGTCTCGTCTTGGCCACAGCTGAAGACGATTTTCCCAACGAAGACGAAGAGCTTGCGGACAGCATTGAGGTGTGGGGAGAAGAGTGCCGAGACAGGGACGGGGACGCAGCAAACTTGGATTTCAAGGCCTCCTCCAGCAAAGAGGACGATGGTGCAGGAGTCTGGCTGCTTGGGTCGCGTAATGCCCGGCAGGCGAGTCCTTCACCACAGGAGCAGCGCTGAAAGAGCTCCAAACCCTGGTGCCCCTTACGCCGCTGACGCGTACAGACCTGTCCCTCGCGCAACACCGGCTTACAGATCCGAGTCCAGAAGTGACGGGCACAGCACAAACTGTCTGAGCAGTCTGAGGAGCGCAGGCAAGGGTCCCCCACCTGACCTGCAAACAGAAAACAAGAAAACTCTCAGCAACACGAACCGGAAACAGTCATTAACCTATAAAAACCCACCGGCCCGTTTTAAAGCGTTTACAATTAATAACTCAGAATGCAAGAAAATTACACTGGTAAAATGTTTACCAACATGTTAGACATCGTTGGAAAGCTTAGATTGTCCACAATTCAACCACTAAGTTCATTTTATAGACACAGAAAGCATCAAAGCACAATTAACACAGATATAGCAGCATGTCAAAATGTAAACATGACAAAGCAGCCACAACAAGCAAGAATGTTTTTATTAATGCAGTTCAAAAAAGACCTATTATTGTCGACAAAAAAAGTCATGTTTGAATTGATGCAGCTTGGGCTGTGCTTTACTCACCCAATTTTCATTTATATATATAGGAACTAGAGGGTGTTCAAGTAATGTATCATACTTGTAATTTGGGCTTACATTTCTTAAGTTATTTGCTTTTCCATTTGCGTATGCAAAATAGGCAAGGAATTCGCAAAATGAGGTGGATGTTAATCTGATACAATTAAAACAAGTATACCTTTACCAGATGATCCTTTAACATTCACTCTGCCTCTTCTCTTCCATCCTTTTTTCGGCGTTGAGCTCCTGTCTCCATCCAGGTCCAGGATGCTCTGGGACAAAAAGCTGTCCACGTCAGCAACACAGATGTCTGCAAACAGAAAGAGAAAAAGAAAAAAAACTGCAGCCATTTTTCAACTTTAGAATCATTGTAAATACAGATTTCTTCGAGGGATTAACTTACTGCTGTTGCAGCGGTTGCCAGGGCAACACATGCTGTCCCTTTGACAACGCCGGTTCCTCCTGCGGCAGGCCTTGCAGCGGGAGTGTGTGGGGCCTTTAGTCGGGATGTGGCAGTAGTTGCCCTCGCTGCACTCCAGGTCGCTCATGCACTGGTACAGCTGCAGGGAAACACAAAAAAAAATATTCCTGAGACAAGGTTTACCCCGAATGTACCTGACGATTCAGGTTAGGAAACTTTGTTGAGAATATGGCGGTTAACTTTTAACATTATGAGGACTTTGTCAAGCACTGAATCCAAGCTGTTATGTTTGAAACACTGAGCCTTGTTCTGCTAGAGGGTTCTTCCTGTTAAAAGGGAGTTTTTCCTCTCCACTGTCACTACAAGCACGCTTAGTGTGAGGGATTGCATTCGAGTCAATGAGTCGATGCAATCAACTGGTTTTTCTTAGATAGAAAACTTGAAATCAATCTGACTGGATGATCTGGTGAATTGTAAAGTGCCTTGAGATGACATGTGTTGTGAATTGGTGCTATAGAAATAAACTGAATTGAATAGCAGTTAAGATTAAAGTTTAAAAAAGTAGTAAAATTGCTGGAATCACCTTTCGAAGCATTTAAACCTTAAGATACCAAAATCAGGTTCTGAGTTTTTTTAGTTTAAATTTTAAACGTTTTTCAATAGATTTAGAAACACTGAAGCAATCTCTGAGACCAGAAAGGTAAAGCAGTTGTAGAGGAATTTCTGATACATTTTAAGTAATTTAAATAAGTAGAAACGTTTTGATGGTCTGTTTAATTAAGCCAAAACATTATCATACTTTTTATTTGTTGTTAAAATGTAAAACATTCAAATAACAATGTTTAATAACTGTAGAAGATAAGTTTGACAAGAAGTATCAACTCATTCAAATTTTTTAACTGTCAGGCAATGAAGGACTTAATAATAAAATGTAAAGATAAACATTTATTCATTATTAACTGTAGCACCAATAAATAAATACTCTAAATAAAAAGAAAAGTGAACAATTGTTTATTTGTTATAGTGGTTTTGTCACAAATTTATAAACGTGACTCATACAGATTATCATCAAATATAAAGAAGAACTAATCTGTGTTTTATTTTTATGTGAAAAATAGAGAGCTTTTGGTTATTTTGCTATATAATCTGGGCAGAGAGCAACCAGCCTTTTGTGTTTACAGGTAATGAGATAAAAGTGAAAATAGCTGGGTTCTTAAGAGCTGTTAAAACTTTCCTGTCCAAAAACTGTCTGTTTAGTTGTGTTTTTTCCTATAATTTGCAGTTTTTTTCAACACTAGTGGGATTCATTTACTAAAGAATATCCTACAGGTCTTGCTCTCATTTCTTCAAACAGACTCTCCATAAATATTGCTGCTTTTTCATCCACTTTTTATCATAACCCCAGATAACCAATATGTTGGATTAAAAGAGGTGCATTTATCTCCCAGATTACTTAATCCTGCAGATTAGCAGAACCATGGTGAGAATGCCTTTTCACCAAACAGGTCTTTAAAACCACCATGTTGGAGCAATAGTTTTAGTTTTCTATCACAATTTTGAGCGATCTTTGGATAAAATGAAACATAAAATGATAAAGGATAAGAACTGCAGACCCAATTTAAAGCTAATCTCTCCACCTGTTGGGTGGTTTTCTCTTTGTTTTTAATTGTGTTAAAGGTTTTCTCTATTCTGTGAGATCCACAGATTATTTTCCCACTCACCGTCAGGTCCATGTCAGGTCCCCACGCGCTCCTGTTCATGGGCAGCGCGTGACCCTCCGTCAGGATCACGGTTCTGATGGAGTTCAGCCGGACGCGCGCCTCTGTCCGGCGGGCGCACGCCAGAAGCGCGACCCCGACGCTCACCATCAGCACCAACTGGAGGCTCATCGCTGCGAAACACCGGGCGGGTTTTATAAGCCTGCAGCAGAAAAACCAAAGGAAAAGCAGCAGGGCAGCAGAGTTTAAATGTTTTTAAGCGCTTCCTAAACAAACAGAAGCCCAAAGATGAGTTAAAATCTGACAAACCAACCCGCTGCTGCTGAAAATGATGCTCCTCCTCTGGAATCCTGAACAGGTCTCAGGTGTTTGCTCTGGATGAAACTGAGGCCAGGTAAACCCTGATCCATTTATAGCTTCATCCCACTGCCACGCGTGGCCCGCCCGACTCCCCCCCTCCTCCTCCTGAGTCCACATCGATACCCCCCCACCTGCAGCCATCGATACAGGCTGGAGCTGGACATGTTTGGAGAAGTTCCTGTTGGACGATGAAGCGTTAAGGATAGGCTGGAGATTCTTCTTTTCTATTTTGAGAATAAAGCGGGGAAATTACAAGAATAAAGTGTTAACATTATGAAAATAAAGTCATAAAATTAAGAGAATAAAGTCATAAAAATAAGAGAAAAAAGTCATAAAATTAAGAGGAAAAGAAACAAGAGAAAAAAAGTCATAAAATTATGAGGAAAAGAAACAATTAAGTGAAAAAAGTCATACAATTATGAGAATAAAGTCTTAAAATTAAGAGAAAAAAGTCATAAAATTAAGAGGAAATGAAACAATTAAGTGAAAAAAGTCATACAATTATGAGAATAAAGTCTTAAAATTAAGAGAAAAAAGTAATAAAATTAACAAAAAAAAATTAAGAAAAAAAGTCAGAAAATTGTGAGAATAAAGTCTTAAAATTAAGAGAACAAAGTCATAAAAATAAGAGAAAAAAAATCATAAAATTAAGAGGAAAAGAAACAAGAGAAAAAAAGTCATAAAATTATGAGAATAAAGTCTTAAAATTAAGAGAAAATAGTCATAAAATTGTGAGAATAAAGTCTTAAAATTAAGAGAAAAAAGTCATAAAATTGTGAGAATAAAGTCTTAAAATTAAGAGAATAAAGTCATAAAAAATAAGAGAAAAAAGTCATAAAATTAAGAGGAAAAGAAACAAGAGAAAAAAAGTCATAAAATTATGAGAATAAAGTCTTAAAATTAAGAGAAAAAAGTCATAAAATTAAGAGGAAAAGAAACAATTAAGTGAAAAAAGTCATACAATTATGAGAATAAAGTCTTAAAATTAAGAGAAAAAAGTAATAAAATTAACAAAAAAAAATTAAGAAAAAAAGTCCGAAAATTGTGAGAATAAAGTCTTAAAATTAAGAGAACAAAGTCATAAAAATAAGAGAAAAAAATTCATAAAATTAAGAGGAAAAGAAACAAGAGAAAAAAAGTCATAAAATTATGAGAATAAAGTCTTAAAATTAAGAGAAAATAGTCATAAAATTAAGGGAAAAAAATAAAGAAAAAAAGTCATAAAATTGTGAGGATAAAGTCTTAAAATTAAGAGAAAAAAGTCATAAAATTGTGAGAATAAAGTCTTAAAATTAAGAGAATAAAGTCATAAAAAATAAGAGAAAAAAGTCATAAAATTAAGAGGAAAAGAAACAAGAGAAAAAAAGTCATAAAATTATGAGAATAAAGTCTTAAAATTAAGAGAAAAAAGTCATAAAATTAAGAGGAAAAGAAACAATTAAGTGAAAAAAGTCATACAATTATGAGAATAAAGTCTTAAAATTAAGAGAAAAAAGTAATAAAATTAACAAAAAAAAATTAAGAAAAAAAGTCCGAAAATTGTGAGAATAAAGTCTTAAAATTAAGAGAACAAAGTCATAAAAATAAGAGAAAAAAATTCATAAAATTAAGAGGAAAAGAAACAAGAGAAAAAAAGTCATAAAATTATGAGAATAAAGTCTTAAAATTAAGAGAAAAAAGTCATAAAATTGTGAGAATAAAGTCTTAAAATGAAGAGAATAAAGTCATAAAAAATAAGAGAAAAAAGTCATAAAATTAAGAGGAAAAGAAACAAGAGAAAAAAGTCATAAAATTATGAGAATAAAGTCTTAAAATTAAGAGAAAAAAGTCATAAAATTAAGAGGAAAAGAAACAATTAAGTGAAAAAAGTCATACAATTATGAGAATAAAGTCTTAAAATTAAGAGAAAAAAGTAATAAAATTAACAAAAAAAAAATTAAGAAAAAAAGTCCGAAAATTGTGAGAATAAAGTCTTAAAATTAAGAGAACAAAGTCATAAAAATAAGAGAAAAAAAATCATAAAATTAAGAGGAAAAGAAACAAGAGAAAAAAAGTCATAAAATTATGAGAATAAAGTCTTAAAATTAAGAGAAAATAGTCATAAAATTGTGAGAATAAAGTCTTAAAATTAAGAGAAAAAAGTCATAAAATTGTGAGAATAAAGTCTTAAAATTAAGAGAATAAAGTCATAAAAAATAAGAGAAAAAAGTCATAAAATTAAGAGGAAAAGAAACAAGAGAAAAAAAGTCATAAAATTATGAGAATAAAGTCTTAAAATTAAGAGAAAAAAGTCATAAAATTAAGAGGAAAAGAAACAATTAAGTGAAAAAAGTCATACAATTATGAGAATAAAGTCTTAAAATTAAGAGAAAAAAGTAATAAAATTAACAAAAAAAAATTAAGAAAAAAAGTCCGAAAATTGTGAGAATAAAGTCTTAAAATTAAGAGAATAAAGTCATAAAAAATAAGAGAAAAAAGTCATAAAATTAAGAGGAAAAGAAACAAGAGAAAAAAAGTCATAAAATTATGAGAATAAAGTCTTAAAATTAAGAGAAAAAAGTCATAAAATTAAGAGGAAAAGAAAAAATTAAGTGAAAAAAGTCATACAATTATGAGAATAAAGTCTTAAAATTAAGAGAACAAAGTCATAAAAATAAGAGAAAAAAATTCATAAAATTAAGAGGAAAAGAAACAAGAGAAAAAAAGTCAGAAAATTATGAGAATAAAGTCTTAAAATTAAGAGAAAATAGTCATAAAATTAAGGGAAAAAAATAAAGAAAAAAAGTCATAAAATTGTGAGAATAAAGTCTTAAAATTAAGAGAAAAAAGTCATAAAATTGTGAGAATAAAGTCTTAAAATTAAGAGAATAAAGTCATAAAAAATAAGAGAAAAAAGTCATAAAATTAAGAGGAAAAGAAACAAGAGAAAAAAGTCATAAAATTATGAGAATAAAGTCTTAAAATTAAGAGAAAAAAGTCATAAAATTAAGAGGAAAAGAAACAATTAAGTGAAAAAAGTCATACAATTATGAGAATAAAGTCTTAAAATTAAGAGAAAAAAGTAATAAAATTAACAAAAAAAAAATTAAGAAAAAAAGTCCGAAAATTGTGAGAATAAAGTCTTAAAATTAAGAGAACAAAGTCATAAAAATAAGAGAAAAAAATTCATAAAATTAAGAGGAAAAGAAACAAGAGAAAAAAAGTCATAAAATTATGAGAATAAAGTCTTAAAATTAAGAAAAAATAGTCATAAAATTAAGGGAAAAAAATAAAGAAAAAAGTCATAAAATTGTGAGAATAAAGTCTTAAAATTAAGAGAAAAAATTCATAAAATTAAGAGGAAAAGAAACAAGAGAAAAAAAGTCATAAAATTATGAGAATAGTCTTAAAATTAAGAGAAAATAGTCATAAAATTAAGGGAAAAAACTTAAGAAAAAAGTCATAAAATTGTGAGAATAAAGTCTTAAAATTAAGAGAAAAAAGTCATAAAATTAAGGAAAAAAATTAAGAAAAAAAGTCATAAAATTGTGAGAATACAGTCTTAAAATTAAGAGAATAAAGTCATAAAATTAAGAGAAAAAAGTCATAAAATTACGAGGAAAAGAAATAATTAAGAGAAAAAGTCATAAAATTACAAGAATAAAGTGGTAACATTATGAGAATAAAGTCATAAAATTAAGAGAGAAAACATTAAGAGAAAAAAGTCAAAAAATTATGAGAATAAAGTCATAAAAATGAGAGAATGAAGTTGTATTTTATGAAAACTCTTCCAAGAAGCATTTTCTTCCCTAAAATGAGGAATGTGGAGCATGAAGTTATATTTTGGCTCTGGTTTGACAAATTAGGAAATCTTTTAGCAGCAGCATCAAATTGGGCAGCAGGTCAAAGTGGACTCAGGTTGCTGATTGGTGGAGCTGGTTGACTGTCATATGCTGGTCAGAGCTCGAAGCTTTCTTTCTGTGTTATGATGACTTAATTCTTCTAATATTACAACTTTACTCAAAAAAAAAAAAAGTAAATCTCTAGCCTGTTCCTAATATACTGACATACAGTTGGATGTGATGCAAACATGAAAAAAACCAACCTTAGCACATAGAGAGCAGGTCATACTTTAATCCAGAATAAATAGATTTATGCTACTATACTATACTACTAAAATTAAATCTTTCTCTTTTGAGAATGATTTCATGCGACATTTTTGCACATTTTTGAAGTGGAAAAAATGTGACATTGGTTAATGAAGTGTTTGCCAATGACAAACATGTAAAATATATGATGTGCCTTGGTAACAGGCTTATTTTCAGAAACAACAACTAAAGCTAAGAACTTCTCCCAGAGCTTATTTTCACCTGATCATGGAGAGAAGATGGATGTTACTCTGGTGGAGAAATTTACAACACTCCATAAATTGGGACCAACCCAAAAGCCACATCAGAGACACAGAAAATACACTGTGAACGATCCACCCCTATGGTGAAACACGGCGGTGGTAGAATCATACTGTGTTCTGGCTGCTCCACAGGGAGTTTTGTTGGTGGCAAATCAACCTTTTTGAGCCGAGATGCATGTCACCTAAAAAAAAAAAGTGTTTATGAACAAAGTAGTTGCAGCATCATGCTGTGGGCTGTCTTGTTCTATGCATCATGGCAGCTGATCAGTGTCAATGTGAAGGTGGATGGTAATGAAACTGGGACAATCTTAAAAGAAAACCTCTCAGCAACCTGAACACACAACCATGGATTGGTTTAAATAAAAGCTTATCCCTCTTTTAGAATGGCCTAGTCAAAGTCCAGACCTAAAAAAAACAGCAGAGAACCCATTAAAATATTTATATAAACTGATGCTTTTGATCATGTTTGGCCAAACTAGAGGTATTCTGACTGCAGCCAAAAGAGGCTTCAGGTTTTAGCCTCTGAAAGTAAATCTAGTATCAACGAGCCTCTGAAGCAGTTAGCAGCTATGCCTGGAGAGAAAGGAAGGTGGTTTAACCCAAAAGAGCTGATTGCAAATGCAACCATGTCTCATTATCTTCCACCTCACAGTAATCTGTTACCA